AGAACTGGCATTTCAAGCATCTCTGAACAAAGTGAGTGGCATCCTTGTACATGTTGGGCCAATAATAACCCTGTCTAAGGACTTTATGAGCCAAGGTTCGAGCACCCACGTGACTTCCGCAGACACCTTCATGCACCTCCTTGAGTGCATACTCTGCTTCATAGGGATTTAAGCACCGTAGAAGAGGTAGAGAGAAAGATCGCTTATAGAGAACCCCATCAACAAGTGTATATCGGGATGCTTTTCTCCTCAACTTCATTGCCTCCTGTCTGTCCTCAGGTACTATACCATCTCGTAAGAAGGAGAGGATTGGGTCAGTCCAGCTCGGTGTGCCTGGGTCGGTGCTGATTTCCATCACCCGCGGCTTCACGAAGCTTGGTTCATCTAAGACCTCCACGAAAACTGATCTGGAATGTGAAGAACTATCAGAGGCGAATTTAGAGAGTGAATCTGCCTGTTCATTCTCAGTTCGGGGGATTTTACTCAGACAGAATTTCTGGAATTTGCACTTCAGCTCGGCCACTAGAGCCACATATTTCACCATCACAGGATCAACAACTTCGCAGATTGAGTTAATTTGGTTCACCACCAGCTGGGAGTCACTGTATACTTGAATCGTACTGAGTTTTAATTCCAATGCTAGCTGCAGACCAAGTAGCAGGGCTTCATACTCGGCCATGTTGTTTGTTGCATCGAAGTTGAATTTCAAAGCATGTTCACTTCGGTATCCATCTGGGCCGATCAAGAGAGCTCCAGCTCCTGAACCTTTGCTACTAGATGCCCCGTCAACATATAAGGTCCAGTCATTGGGCTTCGGAGTAGGAATGGAATTACCTGGAGTGCACTCTACAATAAAATCTGCCAATGCCTGAGCTCGAATTGCAGATCTCTGCTGAAATGTTATCTCAAATTCCCCCAGTTCGACTGCCCACTTAATTAATCTTCCAGAACACTCAGGCTTTTGCAGAATCTGCCGAAGGGGTTGGTCTGTAAGAATAATGATCGGGTGTGACTGGAAATATGGCCTTAACTTTCTAGCCGAAGTGACAACTGCTAAGGCTGCTTTCTCAGCTATGGGATACCTCAGCTCGGCTCCATGCAGCACGCTGCTGATATAATATATTGGTTTCTGCTGCTTGGCTTCTTCTCTTACCAGAACCGAACTAATGGCTTCATCTAAAATTCCCAAATATAGATAGAGGATTTCTCCATCTTTGGCTTTAGTCAATAGAGGTGGTGAGCTAAG